CAGACACATGTAACCTCTACCCAATACCATCTGCTTCCATGATCAGAATTGAGCCAAGGTAGTTGGCTCATATCTAAGAACCTCCAAACTACAAAAGAATTTTTTCTCTTTATAAGTTAATTGCCTCATGCATTTTGTTAGACTCCAGGTGGCTTGCTTGTATCATGAATTAAAGCAACTTTATGTCACCCAATGAATAACATTGGCTTTAGCATCTCACTAAAGACCAAACAGACTTTTTAGTGGACAATACAATCTACTTAAGCACTTCCACTACTTCTCAGATAAGCATCCATGAATAATTACTCCCAAATTATTATCCTATTCAGCAAAATCAGCTTAGAGAAATGAAAAGAATGGTTTGAACTGCATATCCCAAATTGTGAAATTTTAAAATAATGAATTCAGTAAATAAAATGCTGGAAATAAACCAGCATGGTTAAATTGGCCTTTTTTTTTCATACTGATAGCGGGACTGGAGAGTTACAAATAGAAATAATTGAAGAGCAAGGCAACATCAAAGAACAATACAACAATGGAGGAATGCCAGCATTCTGTAAAGATCTCAGAAGTGATCCTAAATATAAAAACTATTGTGCAAAATTCCTTTCCAGGGTTAGAAGTGCCTGCATTTGCAAATAGCTGTTTGCCTTTATGAAGCAATAAAACTAAATAAGGCAACCATTTAAAGAACACAAAGCTGAATCCTGTGTTTCATACACAAGGTAAAATGTGAAGCTCTGACACCCATTTCCAGTTGCAGGAGAAATGTCAGGTTTCCAATTTCCAACTAAGAATTAATGAATACTGAGGGAAAAGTGAATTATTAATTAGGTCTGCATTCCATTTATCTTTTTCAAATTTGGATTTAAAATATAATTTCAAATACATGCTAGTCTTGTCACAAACATGCCCAATAGTTCAGTGCAAAATAATTGGATTTTAAGCATTTGGGCAATAAATAAATAAAATTTTTCTAATACCTCACTCTCTTCACTCTATATTGCCATAGGCTTTGGATTTGCAAAGTCTATTTGAAATAGGCTAAGTCAGATTAAAATAGAGGCCAGAGGCACCAGTCTATGACAACAATCAAACCAGAACAGAGCAAATGGGTAAAGAGTAAGCCGACTTCACTCCCATAGATCACAGTTGCCAGTATAATTCATTTAAAAAACATCTTCTCTAAAGCAGTTTGCTCTGTTAAATGTTTTTGTGATGCAAAGTTCAAGCTAAAAGTGAAAGTCTAAAGTCGTATAATACAAAGTTTAATAATATTTACCACAGGGTTTATGACTTTACCTTAGTATCTAAATTTTAAATCATTTAACACATGGCTTTCAAATAAATTGCTAAATTTGGGAAGTCAGAAAATCTAATGAAAGTTTACAGTTTAGTTTTTTTGAATTTGGTTATTCTCTTCTCAAAATTTTAACCGTTTTAACCAATGGAAGTGAAGTAGTAAGAAATTCGATTTCTACATAAAATAAAATTAATGGAAATTTATTCTCTTTTAGGTCCCAGGTTTTGAGCAAAAATATCCGTATGTTCCTGAAGATGGAGGATTTTTCAGCATAAAGTAAGAAATCGTCACAGAAAAGTCTCTAAAAGCATGATATTTTATCACTATAAATTAGTCGTATTTTTTATGGGCAGGCAGGGAAAATGAAATAAAGTTCCAAGATCATATTGCCTTCATAGACATCTAATGGAAATATATTTTCTTATATGTGAAATCCAGTTGCTTATTCCAAGTGATTGTTCCTCCATTACTAACACACAGCTATAGAAACCATCATAAACTTCACCACAGGTTTTGTAGCAGAAGCTAGTCATAAAAATAATAATACATGGGGCTGGGAAGGTGGCTCAGTGGTAGAGCACTTGCCTTGCATGCCTGAGGCCCTGGGTTCAATTCCTCAGCACCACATAAACAAAAAGAAAAAAGCTGGAAGTGGCGCTGTGGCTCAAGTGGTAGAGTGCTAGCCTTGAGCTGAAGAGCTGAGGGACAGCGCCCAGGCCCAGAGTTCAGGCCCCATGACCGGACCCCCCCCCAAAAAAAAACAAATCCACCATAATCTCTCAGTCTTAGAATAATATTGTTTCCACTTGGATGTTACTTCCATTTGGAATCCTCTGCTAATTCTGGGCCCCCGGGGTCAGTTTTCCTTCTCACTGAAGTATTTGAACACCTTCCCTCTGTGGGAACTTCCCTGCAGATTTTCTGTCTCACTCACTAGAATGGGGAGTGTGTTGAGTCTTGGTTTCTACTATGTTCCCAGCATGTAACACCATACCTGTGATACAGTTATGTGCTCAATATGTATTTGCCAAGACATTTCAGTAGCACAGGTTAGATTCTAAGAACTTTGAAAACTCATGGTCTGTTATAGGAAGCAAGATGGGGCTGCACTTTTCTCTTCCAACCATCTCCTTTCAGATCAAAGGTTGTGGCTTCCCCTGGGACAGATGAGTCAGGATATTTTCATATAGATCAGAAATGCGGGCTGTCTCATGACCGATGTCTAGATGGGCAGCTGGGGAGTTCCCACAGCTGTAACAGCAACCAGAGGAAAGCATTTCTCTTCTTCTTTAAAATAAACATTTTATTAGTACCAATTGATTATATAAAGGTATTTCATTTTGACAAGTTCATATATGCATTTGATAGACCTTGAGTGGTGGTTCACCCCTCTGTCACTCTCCGTTTATTCCCCTTGCTCAAATCAATCTAAACAAGCTCCACTGTTCCATTTCCACAGATGTATGCAAAGTATTTTGGCCATATTCACCCTCCTTCCCCTCTTTGTTTGTCTTCCCTTTTCCCAGCAGCACCCACAGCCTAGACAGGACCTGTTTTACATTCTTGCTTTTCATTTCTGGTGTATGCTAATTACTCAAAGAGGTTTCACTATGATATTGCACACATCCATATCCAGTATTTTAATCAGATTAATTTCCTGCTTTACTCTTGCTCTCTCTATACCCACTACTTTCTATTATTCAGCTGCTTGCAGTGAGCTTCATTTTGCTATCTTCTTTCACGAGTGCAATGGATTTTGGGGTTGATCACCCTCTAGCATTTTTTCTCCACTCCCTAATGCCCACAAAAGATTCTACAATTACAAACATATTCTATCTGTCTGTCTGTCTGTCTGTCTGTCTGTCTGTCTGTCTCTCTCTCTCTCTCTCTCTCTCTATATATATATATATATATATATGATCCTGGGTATATTTACACATCACTTTATCTTAGATCTGACATCTACATATGAGCGACAACATACACCTTTTGTCCTTCTGAACCCAGCTTACTCCCCTTAACATGACATACTCTAGTTCCATCCATTTCCTGGCAAACAATGTAATTTCATTCTTTATGGCTGAATAATACACCATTGTATGTATGTACCACATTTTCTTGATCCACTCATTCTTCTTCTTCAATTTTCTTTTGTGAAGGTTTTATCGTTTTCACTGTAGAGGTTTTTCAGTTCCCTGATTAAATTTATTCCCTGAGGCTACCATGAATATAATTGCTTTCCTGATTTCTTTCTCAGTCTATTCACTGTTGGTATACAGAAAATAAAATGAACTTTACAACTTGGGGGGGGGAGTATTGGGTGGGAGGGGGAAGGAGGATGGGAAGGGATGGGAAGGGTAAACAAAGGAGGAGGCTACAATGCTTGATAGGAAATGTACTCACTATCTTGCCCATGTAAATGTAACCCCTCTGTACAGTATTTTCACAATAAAAAAATAAAAATTAAAATTAAAAAAGAAAAAAAGAAAATCTACTGATATTAGTGTGTTGATTTTGTGTCTTATTACAAGAATAGAATCTTTAAGGTTGTTTAGGTTTAGGATCATGCCATCAGCAAATAGGATAATCTGACTTCTTCCTTATCTACCTATTCCCTTTTATTTCTTTCTCTTACTTCTCTGTCCAGGAATTTCAGTAATATATTGAAAAGAAGTGGGGAGAAAAGACACTCTGTCTCCTTCTTGGCTTTGGGTAATGATTTGAATTTTTCTCCATGTAGTATTATATTGGCTATTGGCGAATCCTATCTACCCTTGTATGAAACACATCCCTTTTATTCCTAGTTTCTTCACCACTTTTATCTTAAAAGGTTGTTGAATTTTACTGAAGACTTTTTCTGCATCAACTGAGGTGATTTTATGATTCTTGTTCTTATTTATGTTGATGTGCTATATTGTGTTTATTGATTTATAGATGTTGATCCAACGTTGCATAACTGGGCAGAGGAGAGCATTTCTAATAGAATAGGTAGCATTTCAGCTTAACTTCAGATTATGTGACTCTCAATGGGTCCTCAGTCTTACCTGGTATCTAGCAGAAAGTATTAAGTTGCAGTTTTCTGGAATGACAGAAGCTAGTGGGTTTCTAAAAATGGAAAAACTTAAAGCCTGGGAAAGCTCTTCATATAAGGATATCAAAACAGGACTTAAATAACACTCTTAAATACTGGTTTGGACTGGGCACTAGAGCCCATGCTTATAATCGCAGCTGCTTAGGAGGCTGAGCTCAGAGAATGACAGTTCGAAGCCAGGCTGGGCAGGAAAATCTGCAAGACTCAATAAGAGTCTTAATTGGAGATAATCCAATTAACCACCAAAAAGCTGTAAATGGAGGTGTTACTCAAGTGGTAGAACACTACCTTGAAATTTAAAAAAAGCTCAGGGATAGCACCCAGGTCTGATTTTGAGCGCCAGGACCAGCATCATAAAATAAAATATCAAAATCTTTCTCATTCTCTCCTTTTCTCTCTCTCCTCTCTCCCCTCCTTCCCCCACTCTCCCCCTCACTCTCTCTCCGTGTATTGACTTCTAGATTCTACCATGTGAGTAATATGCTATTGAATGTTTTAAAGGAGAGCCCCTTACTTCCTCTTTTTTCCTCATTATGTAACCAGCTACACTCAAAGACATTACAGAGCCGGGTACAGGACTCACTCCTGTGGGCTGGCAGTGGGACACCTGTTGCTTTGTCTGTCTGATTCTCCTGGCCTTTCTCTTACAACAACTCCACCTCCAGCTACTGGAGCAGGCCTTCATGTTGCTGTGGGCAGCCTTGCTCATCCTTGGTAAGTGATGGAGAGAAGCATGGCCTAGGCCTCATCAAGAGCAGAAGGCCCCTCCTTGGCTGGATGGATTTTACTCCCATTTCAGAATAGCATAAAATGAGCAATGGGAGAGATATTGATTTCATGGTACGAGGGGAAAAATAATTGATTTACTAAGGTGTATTCCTCATCTACTTTTGCTTTAAGCTATCTATGAAAAATTGTGCCCCAAAGTGGGCTTATTGTTCGTGTAAAAGTAACAGCAAAATTAAACCCAAAAATGTACTGCTAGATTCAGTTTCCTTCCTCAATCACAGCTCATGGAGCTGGAGAGAAAAAGACAAACTGGGATCTTTGTGAATGACTATATCCTAACTGTGAGCTGAGATAGAAATAATCTTGTACTGAGAATAATTGCCCTTGCTCTGTATCCTATGATCAAATCCCTCTTATTTGCACAGAGCAGGAAAAGAAATAAGATGGATTTCCTTGATTCCCTTCCATGTTTTTGGTATTATTTGTCAGTATTTGTCCAAATAAAGCACTGGGAAATTTGGAAAAGCAGTCTTTTGTCTATCAAGTATTTATAGAGTGTATTTATCTTGTTGTCATGTGTAACCTTAGACTCTAAGAGAAGAGTTACTAGAGTGTTTGGCATGTCATGGGAGCTCAGTAATTTGTGCATCCACAAATTACTGGATATTCTCAATATAGTACGGAGGTGGGTACTACAGACAGTGCAGAAATATGAGGGCATGGAAGGGGGCACAGCTCTATCCTTAAGAGCTGACACTTTGATTAGAGCATCAAAATATAAATGCAAGAATGTTTGACAACAGAAGAGAAAATATTATACAACAGATCATAGGATACAAGGTGTTAATAGTAACTGATTCTTGCTCTAAGAATATCTCATATATTAGCCTATCCTATTCTTTATCAATCAACAGCTGGAATGCCTATAACTCCTACAATTCCTACCTCCATGAACTAAGGCACAGAGCTTTGGGTAGCATGACTGATACTAGTACAGTGGCAGTGTTAGGATTCAAATTCGTAACTGGTCTTTAGAAATTATGCTTTTAATCACTACCCCATACTATATAACAAATTACAAGTTCCATATGGCAGACAGTGTTTCAAGTTAAAAAGAGAGGTTGCTTCAGCAGAGTAATATCTAAAAAGACTACTCTGGCCTTGATGAATGGGTGTGACTGGACTTCATGTAGTACTGAAGGAGGAAATGACTTCTATTAAATAATAATTTCGACAAGACAAGAAGATGATAGAGTCAAGAGGATGCTGTCAGCTGCAACCTCATATTTTTAAAAATGACAGCAATCATGAATTGAGAAATTGCTAATTTAACTCATTACAAGTATATTGTGAACTCATTTTTATGGTCCTCAGTTTTAAAATGAGGAAACTGAGTTTGGAAAATGTATGCTAAAATTAAAGCTAGGCTTTCTGAATCCACACTAACTTTTGGCCACTGTGTTGTTGAGTGGGTGGAACTGAGTATGTTTCTCTTCCTCTTGTTTGGAAGTAGATGGCTGGCTTGCGGGCTCTCGGGGAAAGCTGGCTGGGAGCTCCATGTCTGTGCTGATGCTTACCTTTGGCCTTTCAGTTCCAGTCAGTGGACAATTTGGTAAGTCTTTGCTTTCTTTTTTCCTGTTATATCGCTAGTAACTAGCCCTAACTTGCCTCCATCTCAAATATTTGTGCAAAGAAACCTACTTGTCCCCTTCCTCCTTTCCCTGAGGCTGCAAGGATGTGAAAACATGTTGTTCTGTTGACGGGGACCCTAAGCGCTAGGCTACTTGGGACTCACTCTCAATCCAAATCTGCCATGGAAGGCAGAGACACACAGCATAGAATTCTCAGCAGAAGGAGGTACCACTAGCCTAAGGTGGGATTCAAGCAAGCCTGATAGACTGGAGAGAATCCTAAAAGGAAAAATAGCTTTAAAAAAAAAGAGGGAAAAAGCCACTATTTGAAAATAGGAAGAAGGTTGGACTCCCATAGCTTTGACCCTAGCCATGTGTAATCACTTTAGCCAAACTTTCTGAGATTTTTTTTTTCATTAATACCTTAAGTCATGATGACTTTGAACTCCCGTCCATTCTACGGGTCAACAGAAAGCCCATTCTCTGTGGGATATATATATATATATATACATATATATTTTTTTTTCCAGCATACTAAGTGCATCCTGGGAGTTGTTGGTTCCCCTCTGCATGTCATGGCTCACAGGCTGCACATTGTCTCCTGCAGGGCCTGGGTCCGCTGTTATCCTCCTTGGTATCATTTCCTGTAGCTCCCTGCCTACCCTCAAGTAAAGGCAAGACACTGATAATGTTCCAGGATGGGGAAATGAAACAGAATGATTTGCTTCAGTTATTACAAGTGGTTAATTTCACAGCCCACTGAGTAGTAAGTTTAGGAAGGTCCTGGCAAGGTTATAGAGCCTTGAGCATATCGAAAGGGCAACTTACTCAGATCAAAGAGGAATCTAGCTATACTCACCTAAGAAAAGATTTCCCCACCCTTCTTTTTTTGCGGGGGGGCTGGTCGTGGGGCTTGAACTCTGGGCCTGGAGGCTGTCCCTCAGTTCTTCAGCTCAAGGCTAGCACTCTACCACGCCACTTCCGGCTTTTTTTCTTTTTGCTTATGTGGTGCTGAGGATTTGAACCCAGGGCCTCAGGCATGCAAGGCAAGAGCTCTACCACTGAGCCACCTTCCCAGCCCTTCCCCACCCTTCTTTCAGACCTGCTGCTCAGGTTCCCCATTTCCCTTTTCCAGGGCTTCCAGGGATGCTGGTGAGGATTTCTGTTTTCTTCAGGAGTAACACAGCTATTCTCACTGAGAACATAGGGCACTCTGTCCAAACTTTTAAGAGAACTTCTCTCTTATGTCTGCAAATACTTGCAAATGTCTTACATTACCAAACAGCACATCTAGATTCTTTTTTCTTTTTTCGTTGGTCATGGGGCTTGAACTCTGGGCGCTGTCCCTGTGTTCTTCAGCTCAAGGCAAGCACTCTACTACTTGAGCCACAGCACCACTTCCGGTTTTCTGGTGGTTTATTGGAGATAAGAATCTCATGGACTTTCTTGCCCGGGCTGTCTTTGAACCTCGATCTCAGATCTCAGCCTCTTGAGTAGCTAGGATTACAGGCGTGAGCCACCGGCGCCCTGCTCACATCTAGATTCTTGTCTAAAGCATACATTAAGAGCACTTTACAGCTTTTATTTCCAGGTAGAGAAAAGGTATGCCTTTATTACTTATTTTTCCATAACTAATGAATCTATTTGGGTAGTTCTTCTAGGAAAAAATGGTAAGAATGTTTAAAGTCTCGAGCTTTGGGAAAACAATTGTTTATAGGCCCCTTCAGTGGAAATACTCTCCCTTACCTGAGTATAAAACTACCAAGAAAGAAGCACATGTAAAGAGATTCTATGTAAAATTTTATAGTAAATTATATACCATGAAATTGAGATTTTTTATTTAAAAACAATAAAACAATACAAATAGAAATAATCTGTTTTACTTTCTACTTCCCAGAAGTTACATGACATAGGCAATGTGCACAACAAAGGCATACATCTCATATTGATTTTTTTTTCAATTTTGGTGGCTGCCACAGCTTTAGGCATCATAACTGTGTTCATGGCAGGAAAGGATGGGGGCGCCGGTGGAAGAGGGAACGGGAGCTGTCAAAGAACTCTCCATGTGCTTCTCCTAACATAAAGGAAAATCCTTTCCCTAGAACCCCCATTCTCCCTAGCTTTCTTCTGTTACTGAAGTCTTAGACTAAGGGTCCCATTCTGGGGATTCAAGAAGATCAGATTTGGCTATTTGTTGTGGCTCTGAACAGTAAAGAGATAAGACAGTGCATGGTCCCAATGGGAAGATAGTGGGTCTAGCCAACTTGCAAGAACTACTTTCCAAGCCAGGCACTGGTGGCTCATGACTCTAATCCTTGCTACTTAGGGGGCTGAGATCTGAGAATCACAGTTCTAAGCCAGCCCAGGCAGGGAAGTCCATAAGTCTCTTATCTCCAATAAACTACTCAGAAGAGCTGGAAGTACAGCTGTGGCTCAAAGTAGTAGAACACTAGTGTTGAGCAAAAATGCTCAGCAACAATGCTCAGGCCCTGAGTTCAAGCCCCACTACCAACCAAAAAAAAAAAAGAACGAAAAAAGAAAAGTACAAGTACTGGGCCAGGGAACCTTTTCCCCCAAGGGCCATTTGAATATTTATGACATCATTTGAAGTCCATATAAAAGTATCAGTACACACAGACAGACAGGCAAACAGCAGTTGATTAGAGCTAGATGATTCCTACTCCTAGTCAAGAGACAAAATGGAGTTATTTGAGGTGACAACTGCCCTTCTTCAGGTTTAGGACAATGATGGGAGACTTATAGGCGCCATTCCTGTGATCTGTAATACAACATAGTAAAATATGGTATGTGACATTCTGTTGATTATGATGTTTAGTCAATCTTTTCCTTTCCTTCCCTTCCCTTTCTTTCTCTCTCTTTCTTTTTCTTTCTTTCCTTCCTTCCTTCCTTCCTTCCTTCCTTCCTTCCTTCCTTCCTTCCTTCCTTCCTCCCTTCCTCCCTTCCTCCCTTCCTTTCTCTGTCTTTCTTTATTACAGAATCACATTATATAGTCCAAGTTGGCCTTGCAATCTTCCTGCCTCAAGGTCCCAAGTGCTGGGATTACAGGTGTGTACCATCAGGTCAATCCTAAAATCTTGAAAATAGTTATTCCTATGTCTTCAACCTTCAAGCAGATAGATTAGGTAAATGTAGAACTATGTTACTAGTTTTAGATAAGTACTCTTAAATGATTAACACAACTACATGAGTGAGAATCTGACCTAATGTTTTAAGTAATAATGGAGACTGATACAATATGAAGGGAGACATCAAGCTTTTATCCTGTGTTCAATTACCCATCAGATATCTGCAAGAGAAAAGTTAGTGTGTTTATGAAAGCAGCCCTCTAGTCCCTGGTATAATGTCTCTAATGGAACCTAGCACTCAAAGTCAAGGCTCACTTTTTCAAATCTGTGGTGAGCATCTTTTTAGAGGGAAATGAATTGGGACTACCCATCAGGAGTCAGACCCATGTTTTCCTTGTTATCAATTCTCCTTCTCAATTGTCAACCACTTTTGTTCTGTCACATCCCTCAGAAGTTTAGGAGCCATCAAAACAGTGGTTCCACAGAACTTTTTTCATCTTGGACAGAATAATAAATAGCAATACAAATTCATTTGTATTCCCATTGAAAGATTAGCCTACCCCCAACACGGATCTTTGAGCAAGCCAGAGAGTAACTTTGTGACAGGAAAGGATGCGTCTCTTGGTAAACAATTTGTGTGGAAACTATTTTTATTGTTAGCCCTCACAATCTCAAAGCTGCACAACTCAGAAAATAAATACTCTGATTTAGAAAGAGGCCCAGTAACAGGTTTTTATTAGGGAAGTATCATTTAAAACAAAATCTTCCCCTAATCAAAAAAAAAATTCTCTTCACCTTGGTAGTAAAGGAAGAAAACACTTTTATTATCAAATAAACATAAATCAAAATGCATCACAGGCAATCCACTAAGAGAGTGAAAAGACAGAAAGGAATCCTACTCCTTTGTTCCAACAAACAGAAACAACCCATACATGCATGTTTTCTAGAGAAACATTAATTAGCAAAAGGACCTGAAGAAGCAGGTCATTGTAACTTTATCATGGAAGGGGCGGGGGGTGGGGGGAGGAGACCAACTGTGTTAGCTAACGGACTTTTCCTTGGAGAGACGAAGTTCTCAGAGTTTGATGAGAACCATTTGTTTCAACTATTAGAGCACTGTGAGCTTTCCAATGTTGGGCACTTCCTCTCCCATAGGAACTAGAAGATGAGGAAGATATCCCTAGATGGCTACCAAACAAAAAAGATAGCACCTGAGACTTAGCTGAGACTAACAGATGCCAATTACCATGGTAAGATTTACAAACATCTGAAGAGTCAGAGAAATACATTTCTTAAAAGGAGGGAAAAAGATAAAAGTCTCTTCCCTTGCTTACAATAGGGAGAGTTAAGTTTCTTTCAGATTTTTATTTGCTCATAAATTCTCCGCCTTCTGTCCCTCCATGTTTCCAAGATCTTAGGGCCAAATTCATGCCAGGTAATATCTTCTTGTTATGAGAGTGTCTTGGATATTTGGGTCTTTAGGAGCACTGTACTCTTGCACTTCAGATGGTAGTTTAATCAATGCCGACTTCTCATTGGTATGAGTAAAATACAACTTGGACCTTTCCCTAAAACTGCATAATTGACCATCAAATGGCTATTTTCCCTCCATGTACAAACTCCATCTCACCACATACTTGAGCTATATGTATGTTTCCCTCCTTCCATTTGAGGTTCATTGCCTAGAGCTGATGAATAAAACTGATAAAAAAAATAAGACAATTCAAAAGAGAAAGTAAAGTTTTAGCTATAAATGTATACACAGAATTCACACATTAAACTGTGTGAGCCAGATGACTGAAGTTTATTTACTGCTCATGCTAAACAAAGGAAACAGAGTTTGAGACTTTGGGGAAAGGGAAGCAAGTTATGGGAAGGAGACCAGAAATGTATATTGACCAAGAGTTTTTTAGGTTGTTCTACAGATTCAAGTTTCTACCTTCTCCATTGAGAAAGTCCAGGAGAACAAGATATCTTACCAAAGGAGATTCTTTTTACAAAAGGAACATTGATTCATTGTTTAGAGCTTTTCTTACTTTTGATGGGCATCAATTCTCACAATAATCCATATTCCAAAGAGCGTATTTTGCGATGTTGTATTCTGATACCCACCACACAGGTACATTTATCTTAGAGAAGTATCTGTTACATGAAGAGCCCTGGAGGGAGTCAGGAGAAGTGTAATACTCATATAGTAGCTGTGGTACTTGCCTACCTGAAAAGATAAGAGAGTTTACGAGCCTCTTATCATTCATCAATGGTAAATAGGCCCCCTAGGCTTGCCCCTCTCACAGTATCTGAGAGATCTACCTACTCCTGTAAATTCCTAAGGAGCCACGGCACCTTTCAGTGAAGTAAGGCCAAGTAGAAAGTAAAGATCAGAGGCCATAGGGAAGCAGTGTCCCTCTCTGTATCATTGGGAGTTCTCCAAATCCTCTCAGGAATCTCTGTGGCTGGGAACGCAGGCACCTCATCTCAGTTCCCCTTCTCTCTCCTCGGCAGCTCTACCGAAACCTGTGATTTCCCTTCATCCTCCATGGACCACAGTCTTCCTCGGAGAGACAGTGAACCTGACTTGCAAAGGATTTCACTCCTACAAACCAGAGAAAACAAAATGGTACCATGCAAACTACAGGGGGGAAAAGGAAGAAAGAGAAATCTCAGGCAATACCCTGAAGGTCCATGAACCTGGAAAGTTCAGATGCCAGGTTCGGGGCTCACCTCCAAGTGACCCTGTGCACTTGTATTTTTCTGAAGGTGAGAAAGACGAAGAAATGGCTTTGGATTCATCTTGGTTTCCTCGGGGTTGAGAGAACTGAATCCTTCATTCCTAATTTTTTTTTCTTTTGGTTGGTAATGGGGCTTGAACTCTGGTCCCACAGCTCTTCAGCTCAAGGCAAGTGCTCTACCACTCAAGCCACAGCACCAATTCTGTTTTTCTGGTGGTTGATTGGAGATAAGAGTCTCTTGGACTTTCCTGCCCAGGCTGGCTTTCAACTGTGATCCTCAGATCTCAGCCTCCTGAGTTGCTAGGATTACAGGTGTGAGCCATCGGTACCTGTCTGATGCACACTTCTCTTTTCCCATCTATTTTTTTTTTTACCTTGTCTCCTATCAACTTCACAGTTTTCTTCATTGTTTTTCACTTGAAAATTGAAGGTTCCCTTTTTTTTGCTTGTTGGTAAAAATGCTTAACATGAGCTAACATCTATGCACACTTACATAGTCAAGGAAGTAAGTTAGTTTTATGTGGCACAGAAGAAAGTTATCTGAGACCTTCCCTGCATGATTTTTTTTTTAATTTAAAAAAAATTTTTTTTTTGGGTCCGGTCGTGGGGCCTGAACTCTGGGCCTGGGTGCTGTCCCTCAGCTCTTCAGCTCAAGGCTAACGCTCTACCACTTGAGCCACAGTGCCACTTCCAGCTTTTTCTGTTTTATGTGGTGTTAAGGATTTGAACCCAGGGCCTCAGGCATGCAAGACAAGCGCTCTACCACTGAGCCACCTCCCCAGCCCCCCCTGCATGATTTTATAGCTTTGTAAAGGAGAAATCATGTACATGTGTGCTGAGCAAAAACAGAAGATGGGAAAGAAGGGCAGAAATCTCCAACCTCAGGCTTTTCATCCTCATCTGTTCTGGTCTGATAGCTGGCCTTTCTTTTTCTCTCTTTATCATTTTTGTCAGTCATGAGGCTTGAACTCTGGGCCTGGATGCTGTCCCTGAATCTTTCTCTCAAGACTAGTGCTTTAGCACTTTGAGCCACAGCACCACTTCCAGGAGCTGGCCTTTCTTCATTCCTATTTTTCTGTCTGATTGGCCTAAAACCTCTTAGTTTAGACATAAAGACTTGGATCACCTCCCTGGGCACAGGCCTGGAGAAAGAGGAATTCTCCAGTTATTTAAAAATGATAATATGGGCTGGGAAGGTGGCTCAGTGGTAGAGAGCTTGCCCTGCATGCATGAGGCCCTGGGTTCGATTCCTCAGCACCACATAAGCAAAAAGAAAAAAGCCGGAAATGGTGCTGTGGCTCAAGTGATAGAGCGCTAGCCTTGAGTTGAAGAGCTGAGGGACAGCGCCCAGGCCCAGAGTTCAGGACCCACGACCGGACCCCCCCCCAAAAAAAGTAAATAAATAAAGTGATAATAATAATAAAAAAAACTAACGTGGTAGAATGTTAGCCTTGAGCAGAAAGCCCGAGTTCCTGAATTCAAGCCCCAGAATAATACAATGATTTCCATAAAGGGTCATTTTTATTGTCTCTTGAGCCTAGAATTGTGTCTCTGACAATAACTCCACTAAAAAACACCCATGCCTGAACTACTTCCTTGTATATTTCTCCACAAGCCACTCCTTTCATAGCCCCTACTCTGATATTTGGGAAGAATGTTGATGTTGATTTTTCCCATATTCTATGATGTCAGGGGATTTAAGCCATATTTCCTCTGCTTTTTCTTGTCTTTATTAGAAACTTTATAGTTTGAGTCTATCTTTGAATGACTGTATAAATACGCTTATGGTTTATATAGGATTTGTATCTGAAGTGTGACACACTGGCTTTGAAGGAATAGAATATACTTGTTTCAAGAGACAAAATTCTTTTGAAGAAGAAAAGACAATCAAAGACAATCTTTGTAATTCAAGGCACGCAGAGGAAAAGAGCCCCCTAAAGGATGCACCCTTATCTCTGTTGTTTCTAGGTTTGTTAATCTTGCAGGCTCCACATTCTGTGTTTGAAGGAGACACATTGTTTCTGAGATGCCAAAAACAAGGGAAGAAGAAACTATCTGCTGTCAAATATATTTGGAATGGAAACACACTCTATAAATCTAACAAAAGCTTGGATCTTTCTATTCCAAGAGCAAGCTTAAATAACAGTGGCCATTACCGATGCATTGGATTTACGGACAAAAATCATGTGCTTGAATCAAATACCAAAATTATTAAAATTCAAGGTAAGCCAGATATGGTGATTGCCTGCCCTCAGTCCTAGCTATCAGAAGGCTGAGAATAGGAGGATCAAAGTTTGAGGTCAGCCTGGGCAAAAATGTTTACAACAGCTTATCTCAACCAATTAAAAAACAAACAGACTGGACATGATAATGCAAGCCTGTCATTCTAGCTACATGAGAATTGTAAATAGGTAGACTGTGGTCTAGTCTGGTCACATCATAAACATGTGAGCCTGTTTTTAAAAATAAATAAATAAAGTAGACAGGCTCTGGTGGCTCACATCTGCAATCCTATCTACTCAGAAGTCTGAGATCTGAGGATCGAAACTCAAAGCCTGCCCAGGCAGGAAAGTCTGTAAGACTCTTATCTCCAATAAGCTAATTAGAAAAATCTGGAAGTAGCACTGTGGCTTAAATCATAGAGTGCTAGCCTTGAGCAAAAGAAGCTCAAGGACAGTGCCCAGGCCTGAACTCAAGCTCAGGTACAGTGTCCAGGCCCTAAGTTCAAACATACACACACACACATACACACACACACACACACACACACACACACACACACACAGAGTCAAAAAGGGTTAAAGGTGTAGCTCAAGTGTTAAAGCACCTTCCTAGCAAATACAAGGCCCATAAATCCCAGTACCACCACCACCAAAAACAATAATTTCAAAATTTCAAAGTAAAACCTTCATTTTGTATAGATTAATTTAATAATGTCAAAGTTAGAAACATTGGGCATTATACAAGGAGTTTATATTACTATCAAAACTCCACATAAGTGACAGGCAGAAGTATCCTGGGAGGCAGAGAAAGTAGAATGACTAGACTTGAGCCATCCTAGAGAAGGCAAACACAATGGAGAGCTTACTAAGTTTATCAGTCAGACATTTCCTATTTCTCCTAGAGTGCTAAGTACTCCTCAGTTGAGAACTTGAAGAAAAGAAATAACCACCCTTTTAGAGGTTGGAGGCATGGCTCAGTTGGTGGAGCCTTAGCTAATGATTGAAAGTATCAGATTCCAAGTATGAGTCCCGGTCTTAAGAAGAGAGAGAGAGTTAACTTTTCTCTTCTAGAACTATTTCCACGTCCAAAGCTGAATGCCACAGCCTTTCAGCCTATGGAGGGGTCTTCTGTCAACCTGACCTGTGAAACACATCTTCATCCAGAGCGACTAGACACTCCCCTTCATTTCACCTTCTTCAGAGACAAAGGAGTCATCCTGTCAGGCTGGAACAACTCCTCAGAGCTCCAGATCCCAATCATCTGGAAAGAAGACTCGGGATTATATGGTTGTGGCATCGAAACCGTGACCCATAGCGTCCGAAAACACAGTCTCCTGCTAGAGATCAGCGTGCAGAGTAAGTGTAGCACCCAGGTAGCCTGAGTGAGGCTGTGACATCTTGCCTCTTTCTGCTCCTGCTGGCCCCATAGGTATAGACACAGTCCATCAGAGATGGGTTTTGTCATCTTTATAGAGATTCCAGGCTAAGATTGAGTAGTGAGAAACAACAGAGTTAGATTCCATCTCTATTTCTCTAAAAACTCAGTCTTTGCCAGCTTGGTCATATTGAAGTGGTAGGGGTTGCTTCATGGAGTTAGATATAAGGCCTGGGGAAAACAGAACATGAGAACAAGATGCTCTGCTCCTGAGTGGGTAGATTCCACAATGCCAAGCTATTTAGAAAATGAATGTCCACTTCTTCTGAATTCAATGTGTGTGTTCAGCACAAAAGAAGGAGGCACACACATATACATTCAAGTATGGGAACAGATGGCATAGATGTCAATGCAGGGCTTCTGGAAGCGGGTAGATTCCAGCCTAGTGCTTAACAGCCACTGTTGCTACCCTCCTATTTCTCAAAAATAATTTAGACCACCAGTTAGATCAGACAAAATGTTAATGCATCTCCAGGAAAAGTCTATGATTGTTCCTGGGGCTTTGGTATTGAAAATGTAGCACATTTGATGTTCTAAGTCAAAAACCCATCCCACTGATCACAATGCTAATTCTTGTTGAGAGGCATGTCTTAAAGTCACATATAAAGTGGCCCTGTACTACACGTTAGCCCTTCCTTTCCCTGCCTGGCCCTCACCTGCCATCTCCTGTTCCCAGGGATCCCTGTGTCCCAAGTCTCCATGGAGACCCAGCCCCCAGGAGGCCAGGCAGTTGAAGGGGAGACACTGGTCCTTGTCTGCTCCGTGGCGGAAGGCACAGGGTACACCACGTTCTCCTGGCACAGGGAGAACATGAAGGAGAGTCTGGGGAGGAAAACTGAGCGTTCCCAGAGAGCAGAGCTGGAGATCCCTGCCATCAGGGAGAGCCATGCCGGCGGCTACTACTGCACAGCTGACAACAGCTACGGCCCTGTCCACAGTGAGGTGGTGACCATCACTGTGAGAGGTGAGTTTTAGCCACCATTGACCTTATTTATTTTCCATAGACTACATCACATTAGGAGTGGGCAGAGCCAGCATGACTCTGTGACACAAATCTCCTTTATTGATTTCCACATTGCCATCCTTCCTTGTGACAGACATCTGCTTCTTGCTGCTTATTAGTAACTCAACCATGTCTGAGCAAAGTGACCATGGAGTAATGCTGATCAGGAGCCCTTTGACCATGCTGAGGTGATTTTATATGTGTGTTCTTTGGTCCATCACGTGTTCATCTTAAAGAACAGCCATACCTCATTAGCAGCAGGGGACACAGCTCTGTCACCAAAGTGTCAGCTACACCTCTCATTTCAGTACATCATCCACAGGGTATCAGAACAGTAGCTTCAAAGTGGACAGAATCAAAGGCCTAAGGCAGTCTTTTATTGGTGCAGGCCTGAGGGATGACAAGCTACCAAATTGTGTGCGGGCAGGTTATGAAACTTCCAAGCACAGACAATAGACAGAGCCCAGCTTGGTCCACTGAGGAAATAATAAACAGCTCACAGCCTTGTTTACAGATAGTACCAGCTGTAGTGCATAGCCTTCATTTTCTTTGGTCCCAGAAGCCACACTGGGCCAAGGCAGCTTCTTAGTCAACAACCTTGACACCTAGGAAATGGTTTCTATTGGGCTTCAATTCCTCCTCCATCTCAGGTTCAAGGTGCATATCTGGCCACCCAATAAGGCTCTTTTGTTACACACACACACACACACACACACACACACACACACACACACACACAACTATTATGCTTTTCTTTACAATAAAATTCCTCCAAAAAGTTTACTCTCTTCAATCCTCCCATTTTCTCTGAAACCCACCACTATCTACCCCAGACCACCAAAATTTCTTGCTTTGATTGTTGCAATCCCAGTCTTCTGCTCAACTCATTGCTCTTCATTGTATTCTCCATACAACACCAGAAAGAACTCTAAAATTGCAATTTGTTGCTCTCCTGTTCAAACCCTTCCCTGGGCTGGGAAGGTGGCTCAGTGGTAGAATGCTTCTTTATATGCATGAGGCCCTGGGTTTGATTCCTCAGCACCACATAAGCAGAAAAAGCCAGAAGTAGCCCTGTGGCTCAAGTGGTAGAGTGCTAGCCTTGAGCAGAAGAGCTAGTGCCCAGGCCCAGAGTTCAAGGCCTACAACAAAAAACATGTTGAAAACGAACTACAACTTTGGCTGGGAAGCGGGGCGGGGGGGGGGGGTAGGAGGAAGTTGTGTAGGGAGGGAAGGGAATGGTAGGGGGGAAACAAAGGAGAAGGCCACAATGCTCAATAGGAAATGTACTCATTACCTTGCTCATGTAACTGAAACCCCTCTGTACAGCATTTTTACAATAAACAACCATACAAAAACAAAAAAAAACAAAACCTTCCCTGGCTTCTGTCTCCTTCAGAATGACAGCCAACCCCCCCTCCCAGTGACTCACCAAGCCCTGTCGAATCTAGCCTTCTTCCCCTCACTTTGACTCAATTTTCTACCACTCTCTTCCTATCACTTTCACAACAGACACTCCTGTCTCTTCCTTAGATTCCCAGGACCTTCATATTGCTCTTTCTCTATAACCTCATGTTCACCCCTTACTTCCTCCATACAATGTAACTAACAGCCCTCTTCCCAACTCTCCCTCTCCTAGTTCTGCTTCTTCCCCTTCCACAGAACTTATCACTAACTACTAGGTCAGGAACACTACCATGTACCCTGTGTTGCTCACAGGGGTGGATCCTCACCTTAGCCACGATTGTATGTCAAATGCCTAGAACAGTGTTTGGCTAAGCTCACGCATTCAATAATTATATATGGAATGGATGGGTTTTACTTTCATTGTCTCTGTTCATTGTAGTCACAATCCTAGAACATGAAGCTATTATTGTTTGCATTCTACAGAAAAAGAGAGTTCAAAGAGGTTTGGTAATTTGCACATAGTCACAGAGTTTATACATGACACAGAGTTGAACCTTGAAATCTTTCAGCACAGAGAGATGGATAATCATGTTGAAGTTCTCAGCAGAAGTGCCACACTGACAAGTCCCTACCATCAACCATGCTAAGTAGGCAGGGAGTTGTGCTATTTATATAAGCAGTCAGTTCTGACAGTCAAAGTCATGAACCTAAACCTTTCAGTTTGAGGCTCTGGGAAGGGGCTGCCATACTAAAGGCCCAGCTGCTACTCAATTTTCCCTTCACCTCCCTTGGGGGCAAGTCTGGTGATCAAGTGGGGCCCTCCCAGGTCAGGTGATTGAGATGTTTTCCTAGAACCAGGTGATATAGAAAAGTATGCATCCTAGACTAGAAGCAGCTTGGGAGCAGAAACTTCAGGTATCATTCTCAAGAGAAAGACTGCAGTCCACAGCACTTCACAGGAATTTCAACTATCAAGGTAGGGAAAGAGGAAGCAGGTGGGGAGGGGTAGAAAAGTTAAAAGCTGCCAAGGGCATGCAATGTCATGAAAATGCAGAGTGACTCTGAAGGTAGGGAATGGTTCCTATGCAGACTGTGCCTCAGGGACCACACAGGTTCTGATCCCGAGGAGGCCTACAGTGAGTCTATTGGTAATACACATTTAAGTGCAAATTACTCCTCTTGTTTAGGAGAATCAGATCCTGGAATGAGTTTTCATCTTCTGATCTAAGCCATCTCTCTCTCTCTCTCTTTCTCTCTCTTTCTCTCTCTCTCTCTCTCACACACACACACACACAAATGCTATTAGTACACCCATTTTCTAGATGGGAAAAACTGAGATATGAGAAAATTGAATCATTTTCCCTAGCCACCCAGCTAGTAAGTAGAAAAGATGGGATCCTAGCCCAATAATATGGTCTTAGAATCCTTTCTAAAACTGATTTTTAAAACTTTTCTTACAATTAGCCATTTAGTTCCAAGCATGGGTATAGATGATTTTCATTTTGCACAGACAGAGGCCCAAGCAGGCAACCTAAGATGCAGGGGCCAAGCCATTGTGTTCCTGAATTTTCCCTGCTCCCTTCCTCACCGCCTCTTGAACAATCATGATGGGAAGGCCAGACTGGCTGCCCCCCTGAACACTATTTGTAGGTAGGACTGTTGTAGTTCAAATGATAGATTTGTTGGTTTTGTCAGGAAGGGCAGAATGAAAAGAGAAAAGTCACCTGCTGGCCAAAAGGCTATTCTGTGCCAGGAATCAGATTAAATCCATGGGAATTATCATTACTGTTGTTTTTGCTCTGGTGTATGGATGCTCCCTGCCTATAATTCTTGAGTACTGGTGTCTGAAGTCTAAATTTGGCTTACTTGGGGACTCTTTGTCCCCTGATCCTGCTCTTACCTTCCATCCCTTCCATTTATTTGTTTATTGCTGTCTCCTCTTTCCAGCCCCTAAGCTCCACAGCTGTGGGAGCTTCACTATTGTGTTTACTGGCTGAATCCTCAAGGCTGAATCCTAGGCTACTATTTGCTAGGATTCAGTAAATGTTTGATAAGTGTGTAGATACACGGAATGAAATCTCTCTGGCTGTGGATAACAGATTAAAATGGACACTATAGAAAAACTCAGAAACTCCCAATCTCAGAGTTTCTATTTGTGAACCAATCTATTGGTTCTCAATCATATAATCTCTTACTACGTAACTTGGAGAGATGTCCAAGAAACTAGATTACAAGAATATGGGATGCCCCCCCACACACAAATTCTTCCTAACCTATTAATTTCTGAGTTGATTCACCGAAGGTAGAAAGAGCTATTTCCCATGTCACTCTGGTCTATGCAGGAACTTTTCTGTCCATACCTTGGCCCCAGGCATCCTTACAAGTCCCACCTCATCCCTTATATCTTTTTGTCTATAAGGTACAGGATCCCAGTCAAAATGAGGAAAGGTTCCAGGACTGCATGGCAAATTCAAGCCCTAAGTTTTTCTTCTGGGGCTCATACAGGCTCTTTCCCCTTAGAGATCCCAAGCAACAGAAGCAACCTCATGGGTTTGGGAGCTGCTGGAGGCCTCTTCAGCATTCTTCTCCTGCTGTTTTTCTGCTGGAGCTGGAGGAAATCAGGTTTGTGCTCCTTTCTTACCTTTGCTGGGGTCCCTACCTAGTCACCACATGTCATCCGGACAATCACACAAACCCACATCTCTTCCTTAAAGGGCAATTTCCCAAATAGACCCAAGTGGATAAAGCTACTTAGAGCCACTCTAGTATATTAAGTCTCAATTAACAGGTAGAGGAAAAATGAGATTTCGATTGTTAAGCTTCAAACAATTTATCTAAACAATTTATTTGGAAAGTTCATACAAACGAGGCAGCTAGATATTTCTTTCTATCTGAACCCTACCATAAAAAGATATTAAAAGTAAACTAGAGGGATCTGAAGAAAAGACAGAATAGAAGCTGGTGAGGAAGCTGGATTCTCTGGGTCGAAGCGTGAGCCTTCCATCTTGTGTGTCAGCTGCCTTATTCCCCACTGTTCAGCCTCCTTGCCCCAGATACATGCGTGATTCCAAAGGCTTTCTGCCCAAGCCTTGGACAGGCTAACTTCAAATGCCAGAAAGCCTGGTATAGAAGACAGACTCAGAAATTTTTTTAGCTTTAGAACATTCCACTCATCCTTCAACTCTAGTACTAGGCTGGACATAGAAGTTTTGAACCCCAACCACAATACTCTTTAGGAAACCTGAGTTGGAATTTGAGTTCCAACCTGAGTGGGGACCTGAGGTTCTTATGGCCACAGCCACAAATGTTCCTTGAAATCCAGTGAAAGCTCACTACTCTGTAAGAGTAATTTTTTTGTTTCATTAATATTTATTTATAGAGGTATGTCGACACACCCTTAAGTTGTAATGGTCTCAAATCATTGCACATCTAACTCAGGAATGTGTAGTACTGGCCTCAGAAATCTATATGTTTTGTTCAATCCTTTTTCACAGTATTTCATGAAGATCATTTCTGGGCTCACGTTTGTGTTAACTTCTAAATGACCTGTCTGTGTAGCTCTACTATGTGAAGTCTTTGAGAAAGAGCTTCCTCTGCTGACGTGAATGTGCCTTTGCTTCATTTTTCAGGAAATAATTTCCAGGAAGAAGAAACTAGGTAAGTGTACAATATGCAAAACTGTGTGAGGCTGCAAAATTTGATCAAGTTATTTCTTTAGATCCTATGGCTAGGTACTTCCACTTTCATGTTTCTTGAGTAGACCAAAAATGAGGCTTCCTAGAACTATTCTTGTGTGTTCCTAACATTATTCATTTTGCATATTATTTAGATTGGTTTTTAAAAAATCTGAAATCAATCCATTCAAGTGAATGCATGGTCCCAAAGAGTGTTGATTTACATGAGTTGGAAGAGAATATTTCTGATACCTATGGTCTGGTAGTTAGACTGTTACTATGCCAATAGACACAATGACTAGATTCCAGTTTTTCTATAAATGCTTTGCATTTTTCAGGGAAGTCTAAGTTTCTAATATTCTTATTATTACCCAAAACATGCATGTGAATTTTTAGACTTTGTGTGCTTGAGTTCAGTTTGGAAAATATTGTCTATGTCAGTATCTTAGTCTTAGGTGATAGCCAGGAATTAGGGAATGGGTCATGTTTAATTCTTCTTTGATTTGTCCAGATGTGACAGTGTGAAGACACTTAGTCACTACTTCCTGATGGTGAGGCTGGTTATTGGAACCATTCCATGAGACCACTGTCACTAAGATGTCAAAGATTGTTTGGCTTTTTTCCCAGGCAGCCTGCTCATACCATAATCCTTGGATTTCTTTCAAAAGTACAATCTGACTCTATACAGCCCATTGAAGCACCAATAAAACCCTTCTCTTTCCTATTGACTTTTCACTGGAGTCCTCTCATGTTGTACCTGTTAGAATGCTCCAGAGATCATCACATGATTTTACATTTCACAGGAGTCCTCCCAACCCTGCCTCTGGAGAGTCCCCTTGGTCCATCTGCCCTGCCCAGGTCCAACTGCAACCCTTGTATGTTAATGGTAAGGACTCCCCTGTACAAAGCTGGAAAGAGAATGTGCTTTGAGTCCTGCAGAGTCACCCTCAGCTCCCTACAGTTCCCCAAACTCAGATATTCACCTTAAACAATTGCTTCATTGTGTGTCCAAGAAGAATAGAGGTAATGCTTGGGAAGAGGCGTTTGCAACTTACAACATGAACAACACAGCCTAGAAATGTTGTCTTTTTTTCCAGTGCAATACCAAGAGGGTGAGTTGGTGTATTCTGAGATCCAGACTATTTGGCTAAGAGGAGAAGAAGAAGGTATGTCTCTGGGAAGAGATTCTGGCTGCAAACTATGTTCACTAATCCAGTAGACAGTTTTTGAGCACATCCTATATGCTAGGTACTCTGTAAGTGTGTGAAGAGTCAATCAATGAACAAGGCAGACAAAAATTCCTATTGTGTGGAGCCTAGATTCTAAAGAGGGAAGAAAGACATGGAACGTGCATAATGTATCTTTACTAGTGATCAAAACAAAAATTAAGCATTCTTCTAAGCGATACCATGATCCTAATAGTGTATTATTACGATTGTCTCTAGGTCTGAATGGACATTTGTAAAGAATTTACCATGATAGTTACTACTCTGAGAACATTTATATATAACATATAAAATTTTTCCTCCGTTTGTAATAGGGCTATGTCCCAATAATTGTAAATTGAGAATATTTGAGTTGAAAATACATATAAGGTATCCAATAGCATAGCTTATCATTCATTCTGCAGTGTGCAGTTTTATTGAGCTGATACTGGAGCTTGAACGCAGGGCCTTGCCACACTCCTGCTTGGCTTATTTTACTCAAGGCTGGTGCTTCTACCACTTGAGCCACATCTCCACTTCCAGCTTTGGCTGGTTAATTGGAGATCAGAGTCTTACAGACTTTTCTCACCTTGCCACAATCTTCAGATCTCAGCCTCTGGAGTAGCTAGGATTACAGGCATGCGCCATCGATGCTAGGCAGAAATCTACTTTCTTAAATCTCTTTTCTCCGTATGCTTTCTTGCTCCGGTTGATTAACCCAAGCTCCTAGAGTCAAGGAAATAAACAGTTCTGTTTCTTTAATAAATCCAGGTATAGCACCTCCCTTGGGAATTTAAACCTCTGGTATCATTATCTCACTTATAATTTAATGCTGAACCTTTTTTTACAAATCAAGTGTGTAGGAGTTAAAGAGACTGAGCACTTTCTCAAGGTCACAAAGCCAGAAAAAGTCAAAGCTCAGATCAAGTTTTGTGTCTTGCTCTAATATTTGCCGCTTGCCTAGCCTTTTCTACATCTGAGTGATGTGTGTCACCACATCCCTTGCTTTGTCTATCACTTTGCTATCTGAACCCCTTCCATGAACCAGGGACTCTGAACAGCAGAATTAAAACTGTCATCCACGTGGATTGATTGAGTACATCTTAGCTTATCTTACAGAGATACCTTGATCATTTAGTCATTCTTCACACTCCTTTACATATTTGCCCAAACACCATTTCTATTGATAGACTAGATATATTTTAGGCACTTGAGGCATTGATGATCTGTAGAAAAAAAATCTTTCACTTTATGCAGCAGGTTTGCATAAAGTCCCTGAAATAATAAGCAAAATTCTGTGCATCTGACCATTATTCCGGGGATAGACTACCTAGCTTCTGTCATATCACTAAAAATACCAATGATCCCAAAATGTGTGATAAGAATACACTGAAATGGGGCAGGGGGTGGGGAGAGGGGAGATAGGAAGGGATGATAAGGAGAAACAAAGGAGGAGGCAACAATGCTTGATAAGAAATGTACTCATTACCTTGCCCATGTAATTGTAACCCCTCTGTACAGTATTTTCACAATAAAAAAAAAGAATACACGGAAACAGAAACCTTGGGGAGGGTATCTCCTTTTCAGGCTTAATTTCTCCATACAATTGCTGTAGTTACCTGACTTATGTAACTGTAACCCTTCTGTTCATCACCTTTACAATTAAAAAAAAATACTGTGGTGCTCCAATGATTCCTCCCTTTGTTTTCTGGGATTCCTAATTTCTAGTATATGTAGTCCAACAAATCATGCCTCTCTATGGCTTTACCCCTATGAGACTGTGTCAACAGGGGCTGGGAAGGTTGCTTAGTGGTAGAGTGCTTGTCTAGCATGAATGAAGCCCTGGGTCTGATTTCTCCGTACCACATAAACAGGAAAGGCTGGAAGTGGCATTATGGCTCAAGTGGTAGAGTGCTGCCTTAAGCAAAAGAAGCTCAGGGACAATGTTCAGGCCCTGAGTTTAAGCCCCAGGATTGGTGGGGGGGGGGGGACAAAACTATGTCAACAAAATCAAGAACTAGAGCATGCTAATATAAGAAGGAGTTTTCTCACAGGATAGACCTATAGAGAGCTCTATGGGGATTTACCAAACTGTTGGGGAGGGTAAGATGGATGGACCATAACTCAAGAGAAGCAAGAACTGAACAAAGTGGAAAAATAATACATCAATATCTGGTAGAAGAAGAGACTTTACAGATCAATGAAGCTTGAGAAGAACTTGCAGAGGGCTGGGCTAAGAAATGATGAAACAGGAAATGAAATGGGTTGTACAGAGTTGAGGAGCTGAAGTGGGAAAATTATGGCCATCAGTGGAGAGAGTCAAAAGGCCCCAGACTGTGAGACATAGGCTCCAAGTGTATCTTCATGCTTATGATTCAGTGGTTTTTCTTTCCCTCTGTAGCCAGAGCCTCCAGGACTTCGCTAGAGCAAAAGGTGAGTTTCATTCCCCATTGTTTCTCTCCTGACACTTCCTGTAGTGCCATGCTCCCATTCTCTTTCCAGTTCTTCATTTATCTTCTCTTCATTCCAGAGGACCTCAATTGTCTACTCTGAGGTGAAGATATAGCCCTCCACTAACCCAGCAGAAGAGGTCAGCAGCTCCAAGGATGAAGACATGGAATGTTATACAAACATCTTCAGTTGATTTGAACCTGATCTAGAGACCCAGTGCAGTCAAGGCTCTAGAGTGACCAGCTAGTCAGTATTTCTCCTCCCACCCAGGACACTCTGATCATCTATCTGAAGTGTAATGGGCTGTCCATGGAAATACTTTTCTAAAAGGACCAGGTCCAGTTAGGGGAAGATTCTATTACCTGCTCTGAGATTGTATTCCTGAGTCACTGATTTAGGGAAGGGAAATTGTGAAAGAGAAGGACTGAGTTCAAAAAACAGAGGCATACATTTCTATGCTCTGGGACTTGCACAAAGAGAAAAGATTGAGCACTCTGGATTTGTGTTTAACACATTTGTAATTCTGCAGAGTCTTCTGCATCCACTGGTTTGACTGTGAGGGGCTATGCAGGTGTATCACAGAAAATATATAGCCTCTCTCCCCTGCCTGCAATGTTCACACTATCCACCTCAACTCGTTTAAAGACAAAAACTTTTTTAAAAGATGTGTTTAATTCAAAAAAAAAAGTCAGGAGAACTGGAGAAGTAATCTCTAGGCTAAGCTACCCAAACAAGAACATTATTTTAAGGTCACTTGGGACAAAATCTCTCTTTCTGGTTTTTGTTGCTGTTGTTAGTATTGAGGTTTGAACTCAGGGCCCCAGGCTTATTAGACAGGCACTCTATTACTTGAGCCAAATACCAACCTTTTTTTTTTTTTGCTTTAGTTATTTTTCAGATAGGATCTTGCTGTTTGCCTAGGTCCAGCCTCAGACCAGAGTCCTCCTTCCAATATGCCCAAGTAGCTGGACCAACAGACACATACTAGGCCCAGCTTATTTGTTGAATTTTTTTGTTGTTTTTCATTTTCTTTTTTTTTTCTTTGTTTTTTGCCGGTCATGGGGCTTAAATTCTGGGCCTGGGTTCTCTCCCTGGGCTTTTTTGCTCAAGTCTAGCACTCTACCACTTGAGCCAGTGTACAACTTCTGGCTTTTTCTGTGATTTATTGGAGGTAAAGGTCTCATAGACTTCCCTGCCTGGGCTGTCTTAGGACCACAATCCTCAAATCTCAGATTCCTGAGTGACTAAGATTATACATGTGAGCCACAGGTGCCTGACTTACTTGTAATATCTTTTTATGGTGTATTTCAGATAGACAGAAGTATCTAGCTGACTAGTTTATATTGTATGAACTTCCCAAGTAAATTGTTTAGATATATTGTTTGAAGCTTTATAATTGAAATGTCATTTTTACTAGAAACAAAAGTGTACTAATTTGTAGGGATCATCCTGAAATATTAAAGGTATTAATGTGGATTGAATATATATTAAAATAGTAAACCAAATGATAAATTTGACTTGAGGTAATCTGATGAGGGGAGGGTGTGGAAAATAAGCAAGGTATTGATGAGATGGGACTGGCCATGTAGGGAACATTTCCTTCCTTCTTTCCTTCCTTCCTTCCTTCCTTCCTTCCTTGCTTGCTTGCTTGCTTGCTTCCCTCTTTCCTTCCTTCCTTCCTTCCTTCTTCCTTCCTTCTTTCCTTCCTTTTCTTTTGTGCTGGTGCTGGGGCTTAAGGCCTCACCCCTCACTTGGCTTTTTTGCTCAAGGCTGGCCTGCTGGCTGGCCTGCTATCTCTGGAACCATACCTCACTTACAATATGTGTGCCATTTCTGAAGCTGGGTATTAAGCACAACATCCAGGAAGGAGGTTTATACTATTTCTACTTTTGTATGTTTTCAATTTTATACAATAAAGAGTTAAAGTTCTATACCCATACTACTACCTCCTTTGTCACCTTGACACTGTCAATCACCTTTGACCGAAGCACCTCACACTCCCATTGCAGCAGTGGTCTGTGTCACTTTGCCTCTTTCCTTCCCCAGTCCATTCTCAGCACAGTGGCTGTTGTGCTCCACACCCTTCAGATGGTCCTGCTTTCTTACACTAAAAGCCAGGTCCATAAGAGTTTACAAGGTCTCCCCAGTCTATGTCCTTGGGGCTCTCTGATCTCATCTCCTATTTTCTCCTCTTTGCATCTCTACACACACAATCTTCTTGCTGCTTCTTGAACAGACATAACACAAAAATGCACACTGAGACCATTACACTGGCTGTTCCCTCTGCTTAGAGTGCTTTTCTACCCAGGAAGGCTTTGAGGTCTACCCTGAATCACATAGAAATTTAGAAACTACTCCCCTTTCATTACTGACATAACCCAAGACATCTACAACTATGCCTAGAACATAGAAGGTAATTGATACATTTTATTTTTTCTTTGCCCTGGGGCTTGAGCACAGGGCCTGGACCCTGTCCCTGAGCCTCTTTGTGCTCAGGACTAGTGCTCTACCATTTGAGCCACAGCACCACTTCCATCTTTTTCTGAGTGGTTTTTTTCAGAGTCTCATGAACTTTCCTGCCTAAGCTGGCTTCGAACCACAACCCTCAGATCTCACTCACCCTCTGGAGATAGCTGGGATTACAGCTATCTGATAACTAGGATTACATGTGTTAGCCACCAGCACACAGCTTGACCCCTGTTTGTTTGTTTGTTTGTTGCCGGTCGTGAGGTCTGAACTCTAGGCTTGGGCACTGCCCCTCAGCTCTTCAGCTCAAAGCTAGCGCTCTACCACTTGAGCTACAGCACCACTTCTGGTTTTTTCTGCTTATGTGGTGCTGAGGAATCGAACCCAGGACCTCATGCATGCAAGGCAAGCACTCTACCACTGAGCTACCTTCCCTGCCCCCTGACCCTGTTTTTTTTTGTTTTTTTTGTCAGTCATGGGGGTTGAACTCTGGGCTTGGGCGCTATCCCTGAGCTCTTCAGCTCAAGGCAAGCATTCTACCCCTTGAGCCACAGCACTTCTGGTTTTCTAGTTGCTTATTAGAGATAAAAGTCTCACTGACTTTTCTGCCCGGGCTGGCTTTGAACGGTGATCCTCAGATCTCAGCCTCCTCAGGTAGCTAAGATTACAGGCGTGAGCCACTGGCGCCCGGCTTGACCCCTGTTTTTGAATGAAAGAATGATCTTTCAGTAAAGAGAATCATTGTTCCTTCCAAGACGGAAGGGACTCAATGTAAGCAATACTACCACATAGCACTCTGCCCTCCAAGGAGCCGACTCTCAGTTCCACTTCTGACTAGGCAGCTGATGGTGGTCAGAGCAGCCTTGTTTGAGCACAGACTTATGTGACATATAACTTCTCATCTTCTACTAGCCCACTTCATCCTGAGCCCTTTGAGTAATCACCGCAGTAACTGGAAAAAGACAAAGCTGCTTGATACTCAACCAGGGCAGATGATCACATTGGCTGATTTCCTCCCAATCAAAACTTGGTGGTTTAACCTTTTTTTGTTGTTTCTTGAATAATCCTGTGTGGTACTGACAATTCCTTGCCTTCACTTGAGTCAAGATAGAGCATTACGTGTCTAATGTCTAATGTCTATTATCCCTCACATATGTCATTATACGTATAGTCATTTATATGTATATGTATACATACATATAAATGTGTGTGTGTGTATATATATACATATATATGCATCTTTGTGTCTTCCCGTACGCACCATCTTCCATCAGTGCATCCATCCCCAGTTCTTGCTGTTGGTCATATCTAATAAAATCTCTAAGGCTGAGTGTGAACTTGAAATATGATCTAAAAACAAGCCTCCACCAAAATGTCACTTCAAGAGCCACAGAAAGAGGAACTCCAGGATAAATATATCATTTATGTTTATGCAAAGTAAGCTGGTTTGTTGGACTTCCCAGAGGCATGGAAAAATTGTACCTCAAACATTTACATGAGCTGGGGGGATGGGGAGGAAAGGGGAAAACCTCAAGCCAGTTGACTTCTATTATTTTCTGATTTAAATAAGAATTTCCTTTCGGGCTGGGAAGGTGGCTCAGTGGTAGAGCACTTGAGGCCCTGGGTTCGATTCCTCAGCACCACATAAGAAAAAGCCGGAAGTGGCACTGTGGCTCAAGTGGTAGCGCGCTAGCCTTGAGCTGAAGAGCTGAGGGACAGTACCCAGGTCCAGAGTTCAGGCCCCATGACCGGACCTAAATAAATAAAAAAATAAGAATTTGCTTTGAAAAGAAAGTTGGCTCTTTGAAGAGGGTCCTCCTTCCTAGAGAACACATCTATTCAAAAGCTAGAGTTTTTCAGAAGGCTGCCCAAGGACTGCGAAAAAGAGAACAGAGATCGGGTGACCGTGGCTCATGCCTGTAATTCTAGCTATTCTGAAGGTTGAAAACTGAGATTTGAGATTTGAAGCCAGCCTAAGCAGGAAAGTCCATAAGACTCTTGTCTCCAATTAACTAGTAAAAAGCTAGATGTAGGAGGCATGGTTCAAGTTGTAGAGCACTAGCCTGGGGAGAAAAGGATAAATGACAGGATCCTGGTCCAGAGTTTAAGGTCAAGGATCAGCACCAAATACATAAATAACAGAATTAGATGCAAAATGATTACATGATTTGTGGGGCATGGTGCAAAATGAAAATGCAAGATCTCTTATTCAAAAAGCAAGAGAAGCCAGGAGCTGGTAGTTCATGCCTGTAATCCTAACTACTCAGGAGGCTGAGATCTGAAGATCCCGGTTCAAAGCCAGCCTGGGTAGGAAAAGTCTGTGAGATTCTTATCTCCAATAAACCACCTGAAAACTGGAAGTGGCACTGTGGCTCAACTGGTAGAGTGTTCACCTTGAGCTGAAGAGCTCAGGGACAGTGCCCAGACCGAGAGTTCAAGCCCCATGACTGACAACAACAATAAAGCAAGAGAAAGAAAGTACCATAAAAGGATTAGAATATAAAGTTTTACCTTTCTTCTGTGATCTCTTCCTTGACTTTTCCAATGCACTGTATTAATGCTATTCTAAGAGAAGAAAGTATAAAAATTTTAAGTATTAAAATGAATGCTTCTGTCCAATATACTTTGTAATGCTGATTTTTCCTGCAAATATAAAATCATTCAGTTAATAAGTGGAATCACTAAAATTAAGCTATTCTATTTTATAGCTGTTGTACATATTTTTTTCTTATCAGAACAGTAGAAAAGGAACAAAATTTTAAAAACACCCAAATATCTTCCTTTTTCTTTTCTTTCTCTCTCTCTTTCTCTTTTTTAAATTTTATTTTATTTTATTATAAGGGTGATGTCAGGGGGTTACAGTTACATAAGGTAATGAGTACATTTCTTGTCGAACATTGTTAGCCCTCCCTTGTTTTTTCCCCATTCCCCTCCCCCACTCCCCTTCCCACCAAGTTGTAAAGGTTATTTCCAACATAATGTCTTATGAGTCTTTCCCTTCCTCTCTCCCTCTCTCCCTCCCTCTCTGTGTCTCTCTCTCTTTCTCTCTCTCCCTCCCTTCTTTCCTTCCTTCCTTCCTTCCTTTTTTTTTGTGCTAGTACTAGGGCTTGAACTCAGGGTCTGGTTACTATATTTTAGTTGTTGGGTTTTGTTTTTTGTTTTGTTGTTTTAATTTTATTGTAAAGGTGATGTACTGAGGGGTTACAGCTATATAAATCAGGTAATGAGTACATTTCTTTTTGAACATTGTCACCCTCTTCCTCATTTTCTCCCAGTTTTTCCCCTCCCCTCCAAGTTGTATAGCTCATTTCCAACATAGTATCTGGTGAGTATCACTTAGTTTTTTTAGCT